ACGCCCGATACATACTACATGCATTACAAGCGCGGCTGCGGCCCGGCACGCCGCCGCCCGCGCCCGGACGACGGCACCACCCCATACAGACCGACTACTACCTCGAGGAGGTGACACTACACGCCCGATACATACTACATGCATTACAAGCGCGGCTGCGGCCCGGCACGCCCCCGCCCGCGCCCGGACGACGGCACCACCCCATACAGACCGACTACTACCTCGAGGAGGTGACACTACACGCCCGATACATACTACATGCATTACAAGCGCGGCTGCGGCCCGGCACGCCGCCGCCCGCGCCCGGACGACGGCACCACCCCATACAGACCGACTACTACCTCGAGGAGGTGACACTACACGCCCGATACATACTACATGCATTACAAGCGCGGCTGCGGCCCGGCACGCCGCCGCCCGCGCCCGGACGACGGCACCACCCCATACAGACCGACTACTACCTCGAGGAGGTGACACTACACGCCCGATACATACTACATGCATTACAAGCGCGGCTGCGGCCCGGCACGCCGCCGCCCGCGCCCGGACGACGGCACCACCCCATACAGACCGACTACTACCTCGAGGAGGTGACACTACACGCCCGATACATACTACATGCATTACAAGCGCGGCTGCGGCCCGGCACGCCCCCGCCCGCGCCCGGACGACGGCACCACCCCATACAGACCGACTACTACCTCGAGGAGGTGACACTACACGCCCGATACATACTACATGCATTACAAGCGCGGCTGCGGCCCGGCACGCCGCCGCCCGCGCCCGGACGACGGCACCACCCCATACAGACCGACTACTACCTCGAGGAGGTGACACTACACGCCCGATACATACTACATGCATTACAAGCGCGGCTGCGGCCCGGCACGCCGCCGCCCGCGCCCGGACGACGGCACCACCCCATACAGACCGACTACTACCTCGAGGAGGTGACACTACACGCCCGATACATACTACATGCATTACAAGCGCGGCTGCGGCCCGGCACGCCGCCGCCCGCGCCCGGACGACGGCACCACCCCATACAGACCGACTACTACCTCGAGGAGGTGACACTACACGCCCGATACATACTACATGCATTACAAGCGCGGCTGCGGCCCGGCACGCCGCCGCCCGCGCCCGGACGACGGCACCACCCCATACAGACCGACTACTACCTCGAGGAGGTGACACTACACGCCCGATACATACTACATGCATTACAAGCGCGGCTGCGGCCCGGCACGCCGCCGCCCGCGCCCGGACGACGGCACCACCCCATACAGACCGACTACTACCTCGAGGAGGTGACACTACACGCCCGTTACATACTCCATGCATTACAAGCGCGACTGGGCCCGGCATCACCCCATACAGATCGACCTCAAGGAGGAGACTACTATCTGCCCATTATATACTGCATGCATCCCACGTGTAGCTGCGGCGCTGCTGCGGCATATAGCCCGTCCACTTTCTCGAGAAACCCCACATAGACCGTCCTTCCTCGAGGAAGTGATCACTTCACCTCCATTACATACTGCATGCGATCTCTGTCATTCGATCCTGCAAAATGACTAACAAATCTGCTGTTAAGAGAAGGGGATTAAGGATCATTCGACCGGCAGGCCAAACTGTTAACCTTTCTTTTGAAAAGTGTTTGACTGTAGAGCAGCTATACTCTAAGTGTGTTCCGCGGAACCCTAGGGTTCCGTGATACCTCTGTCGGGGTTCCGCAAGAATTTAGAAATAAAAAAATCAAAACACCTCTCTCTGGTCGCTCCGCGGCTGTGCGGACTCCGCGGCCGCGCGGAGACAAAACGCTATGAATGTTATTTATTTATTTATTTGTATTTGTATAAGCTTGTGTTACATTAGCTGGTACAATATCTCATAAGTTTGGTCTCAACAATTTTATACTTGTACAACGCGTTCGCTCTAAGTTTGCCGGTCTGTGGAATGCGCGTACCCTCCCCCACGTGACAACAAAACTTATAATGTGTCATAGTTTTACCCAAATATCTAACGTACACAATTTTTATTGTTACAATTAAATAAAAAATTTCGAACGTCATACACTCATACCTATCGCCAGCGGCAAACTTAAAACGAGCGGGTAGTATACTTGTAAGCGCTCAGTCTCTTTGATAAAAGCCGCCTCTGAATTAGACGCTATAGTTGTCAACTAGCGACTTTCGTCTCTAACTTCAAAGGATAAAGTCGATATTGTTTACAACGCTATTTTTAAATTTCTGTTTTTATTTTTGCTTTTTGTTTATCAAAGGTGCCGACTCGAGTATTTTCGAGAATATTTGAGATCGAGTCTAGGACTAAGTATAAAAGCGGCGATCGCGCGTTGGCGTCGTCAGTTGATGATTAGCGTTCGGAGCGATAAGTTACTACCTACTTACAAGCTCGCTAGCGAGAAACTGGTGTTCATTGTTTTACTGCCTGCTGTATTCTGTTGTCTCAGTTTTATACATTTCTTCCCTGTAGGTTCTAAATTTAGTCTCTTATACGCAGTAACGATTGTGCATTATTTAAACCCCACTATCCTGACTTGTAACATTATAAATAAAGAAGAATGGAACGTTGGCTTAAAGGTGTTAAACGTGTTCCAACAACATCTTCTAATGACGCTGAATGTTCAAAAGCAATGCGCGCGGAGAATTTAGCAATCACCGATCCAGAAGATGATGCCACGAGTGCCACGACGTCAAGCTCGACGGTTTCAAAGACGAAAAAAAGGAAGTATGATGAATCTTATATCAGTTTCGGATTTGTTGATTCCAACGGCTCACCTCTCTGCATGCTCTGTAGTAAACTGCTTCCTAATAGTTCCATGGCACCTGCCAAATTGCGTCGACATTTAGAAACCGTACACCCCGAGACTAAAGACAAGAATAAAGAATTTTTTGTTCGCAAAAAAGATCAGTTATTAGAAAGTCAAAAAAATATGATGCATGTAACACAAACTACCAACGAAAAGGCCACGGAGGCATCATACTTAGTTAGCTATCGCATTGCACAAGCAGGTGAAGCGCACACTATCGCTGAGAAATTAATAAAACCATGTATGTGTATTAGACATAACAAAATGTATGCTTGATGAAAAATCTGCAAAGCATCTTTCTACTGTTCCGCTATCAAACGATACTGTTTCACGACGAATCCATGATCTGGCAAGCTACGTCAAACAAGAACTAGTTACACGTCTACAAAATACACGATTCGCTTTGCAAATGGACGAGTCGACTGATGTCGCTGGTTTGGCTATCCTGCTGGTTATTGTGAGATATCCATATAAAAGTTCTTTTGAAGAAGACATGCTTATGTGTTCATCGCTGCTTACAAACACTACCGGGGAAGAAATTTTTAATAAAATAAATATATTTTTTGAAGAACATAATCTCAGTTGGAACAATTGCATTGACATTTGTACAGATGGGGCCAAGGCGATGACAGGTAAAACAGCAGGAGCAGTGTCACGAATGAAAAATAAAGCGCCTAATTGTAGTTCCAGTCATTGTATTCTGCATAGACAAGCACTTGCGATGAAGCAAATGCCGTCTAATCTAAAATTAGTTATGGATGAAGCGGTAAAAATAATTAATTTTATCAAATCACGACCACTACAATCCCGATTGTTCTCATTATTGTGTGAAGATTATGGCAGCAAACATAAAACACTGCTGCTCCATACAGAAGTGCGATGGCTGTCTCGGGGAAAAACTTTAACAAGGCTATTTGAACTTAGAGCCGAGTTACAAATGTTTCTTTCAGCAGATACTTCTTTTAATTTGAAGGACCGTTTGTATGATAAAACTTGGTTGTTCCGATTGTCTTTTATGGCGGATATCTTTCAAAAACTTAACGAATTAAATTTATCATTGCAAGGTAAACAGACAACAGTGTTTCAGGCCTATAATAAAATAACTACTTTTAAAAGAAAATTAGATTTTTGGATCATTTGCATTGGTAAGAAAGAAATAGAAAGTTTTACGTTACTCACTGAGTTTGTTAGCGAAAACGACTCAGAAATGTTTGAAGATAATGTGTTTGAAGAATTGGTCCAATATCTCAGTTCGATGCGCGCATCTTTTGAAAAGTATTTTCCCGAAGAACACAATACAAAAATTAAAGTGAACTCCTGGATTCATAATCCTTTTTTACCCAACTTGGAAAAGCCTGAAAACATGTCAAATGAGATATATGAATCTCTTTTAGAAATGTCATCAGACACAAGTATGGAGTCATTGTTCAAAACGACGCCTCTTAATGATTTTTGGTGCAGAATCCAAGATGAATATGCAATGCTTGGCCAAATGGCTCTGGATATTCTTCTCCCGTTCCCAACTACATATTTGTGCGAAACAGGATTCTCTACCTACGCAGCCACGAAAACAAAATATCGCAATAGACTGGACGCCGAAGCTGATATGAGACTCCAACTTTCTTCCATCAAACCTGATATCAAGCAATTGATGAAAAATAAAAAACAGTTTCATACCTCCCACTAGTTAGATTTTTTCTTTTTTAATGTTTTCTATTATTGTCCTTACCAAGTGGTGAAGTAAATAATAATTAGTAACGGATACATTGTACTTTTATTATGCTGATTAATATAGAATACACTTATAAAAATAATTGTTTTATTGTAGGGTTCCATCAAGTATTTTGCTTCCCAAAAGGGTTCCGTCATTTAAAAAGTTTGAGAACCACTGCTGTAGAGAAATAAACAAACATCGAACTCCATTACTAATCCTCCGCTGCCTATCCGTCCGTCCATTTGTCATTGGCCTGTATCTCATGGACGGCTGTAAAGAGGTATACAGTTGAATTTTCATAAAATATGTTTATTACATAACGTCTGAAAATAATATAACGTGATTTTTTTGATGTTATTTGTCCGAGTAACTGTATAATCTTTTATAATATTACACAACCCTGACAGTTAATCACCTTACGTCTAAATCATCCCCTGTTTGTTGCGGGTGCAGTTGTTCGACAAGGGCGTGGAGATGGAGGTGGGCGTGCAGACGGACCTGTTCGCGGACCGGCCGCCCACGCCCCTCTACGTGCCGGCCAAGACCGGCGCCGACGCAGGCACGCAGATCTACCCCGGAGACGTGAGTTTATTGTACATTAGGTTTTGCTAGCTACCTTTGACTGCATCAGAGTTAGAGGACTGGAAAAATGATTTATACTCTAATCTGACAACAAAATAATCGCTGTGTGACCAACTGCTATAAATTAAAAGTCCACAAATCTGTTTTAACAGTTCCATAGGGGTACAAACTGGCTTAGCGTCAGACAGCACTGCCACCACAATTGCTGATTAGGGGACTACTTTAGAAAGATTGGATAAAGAAAAACATCTAGCAGTTAGATGCTTCACGGTGAACCCATAGGGTTCCGATCATCAAACGCACCATCCTCTTCGTACATTTTGTTAGGACACGCAAACACCTAACCAATATCTTCTTTAATGATGTTACAACTTCAGTAATCACAAATATTCACCGAGTGGTCGGATGCGAACGGATGCCTTTCGTGAGAACACTCTAGCTAGCACACGCTAACTGACTGACTTAATCTACATCATAGACATTCTACGATTCTACCCCCGTCCCGAGGTACTGTCAGTTTGACAAGTAACAGGCTGAATGCGTTCACGAGCGACATCTAGTTATTATTTTAGGTAACATCTCGTTGTGGGTTAAGAGTTGCTTAAAAAAATATGAGACTGGATAACTTTAGGATTATAGATCTCATTTGCGTTATTAATCTGGAGGGGGAAGCTCCGCCCCAGTATTTCTCGTATTAGGTATGTTGTGTAATGGTAAAAATATTAAATTTTGCAGCTGTTCGACTTCGACTTGGAGGTGCAACCGATCCTGGAGGTGCTGGTGGGCAAGACGGCGGAGCAGGCACTGGCGGAGGTGGCGCAGGAGGAGGAGCTGGCGGCCCTGCGCGAGCACCAGCGCCGATACACCGAGCTGCGAGACGCCGAGCGAGCCGAGCGGGCGCGCCTCGCAGCGCAGGACATGCGCCTCAACCAGGAGAAGGTAATATAGCCGTCAGCTTGAGCACCTCTCACCTTCGCTTAGAAGGCTTGACTCCTCACATACTGTAAGAAAGAAACTGCGGAATAAGATAATATTATTATGTGACTGCAATATTTCTCCAAGCTTACACTGAAATGTAATATACATCTCACTATCCAGTTATGAGTCGACGTTTATCACGCCTTAATATCCCCCCTCCACTGCCCCCGATGTGACCTACCTCTCTTAAAAGGTCCCACATACATCATAGAAAAATGAGATACGCTAAACAAAATATTGTATTTTTTTTACTGATGATAAATTACGGTGGAGTCTAGACGCGAAGAGAGCTGGTGCAGCAGTTCTATCGTAGAATTTAGGGACTTAGGACTACACAATTAGACTCTGAATGATGAGGGAAAAATATTTCGCAAACGTCAACTTTTAAAATATCACCAATCGAGTTATCAGAGATTAGCTAGTCGGTCTAATCCCCCTATTCCATCCGAGAAGAAGGTCGATGATGATATCTCGGGTGCGCAGGAGCGGCGCGTGGCAGAGGCGCGCGTGTCCGCGCAGGCGGCTGTGGAAGCGCGCTCGCGGGCGGCGGCGGGCGTGCTGGTGCAGGGGTACCTGGCCGACCTGCTGCCCGCCGTGCTGGCCGGCCTGCGCGACCAGGGGCACCTGCTGGAGCGCGTGCAGCGCGGACTCGACGATGAGTTCATGCCCTGGCTGCTGCGGCAGGTCTCCAGCGAGGTGGAGGCGCTCATCACCAGCCGCGACGTGCTCACCGGTACTACTCACGTTATCTTTTGTGAATGCACTTAACTACATAACGAGAAGGGAGACTGGGAGATCTTTATTGGAAGTGAGAAACGTCAGCAGCCTAACAAACGACGTAGGCTCCGGTGGTTCCTTAGCGTCGAAAAGTCGAACGATAAGAATGAATCTTCTAGTTTTTGTTTCGTAAAAGCTTTAATAAATAATAATCACAAACGCTAAGAATATTTTTTAATTTTAATATTCATTTCGAATTCCACTGATGCTTTAAATAACAAAGAAGTCGAAACAGAAGTGGAAATAAGAATAGAGACAAAGAATTTTGTAATGCAGTACTGTGTACTTGTACTGAGTGATGTCGTCCGAACCGTCCAGGGAGAGTATCTCCTGCGTCAGAGTGTAGTAATGGTGAGATGAGAGTGTATGTTGTGTGTGTACAGAATGAAATAGTGCGTGTGGAGGTGGAGACTAGAAAAGCATCCTTCTTCTCCCGAAGACTGGAGCCAGAACACTGTTCTGTAGTGCTGTAGAGTTGCAGGGAGTAACGTCAGAGCATTACAATGACTGTCCTACATGCTAGCATATTGTAGGTCAAGCCCGAACTTACAGGTGTGGAAGCCCTGAGGCAACGAAACGGAACCTCTAATATGAGCGTACCTGTTGGGTATTCGCCTGTCATTTATTTTTTACTTTGTTTTTTTTATACTGCTGCCCCCATTTTGTGACAGGTCTTTATCTTCTTTTTTTTTCTATTCTTTTATTTATATATATTTCTTAATTATTTTATATGTTCTTTCTTATTCTAAATTATGCTTTAGTGATAACATTTCTATTTTACTCATTTCTTAAATTCTTGTATCTATTTTACATACATTTCTTGTTTGTTTATATCCTATGACTTTTACATTTTTTGCTTCCTCATATACTTATTTCTTATTTTTATTATACTTATTTTATACTAGATTTAACATTAATATGTAGATTAACCCTATTTCAATTCCACTGTTTATTTACATACAATTGAGAAGCTTCCTTTACTAATCTCTGAGTTGTGTATCTATGCGTGTTAAAGTGTGTGTCTGTGTGTTTACTTTGTGGTTGTGGGGCTCGCTCGCGTGGAAGGCCCCTAGGAGGGAGCACCGCTTACCCTGCCTTAAATCTGACCCTGGTGTAGTAGTTGAAGGTTAGGCAGGATTAGTGATAGAGACAGTTTGTGTGGGTGCAGAGATCGTGCGCGAGGTGGTGGAGGCGCGCGCGGAGCTGCACCGCGGTGCCGGAGAGCGCGCCGCGTTACGAGCCGTAGGTTAGGCAGGATTAGTGATAGAGACAGTTTGTGTGGGTGCAGAGATCGTGCGCGAGGTGGTGGAGGCGCGCGCGGAGCTGCACCGCGGTCCCGGAGAGCGCGCCGCGTTACGAGCCGTAGGTTAGGCAGGATTAGTGATAGAGACAGTTTGTGTGGGTGCAGAGATCGTGCGCGAGGTGGTGGAGGCGCGCGCGGAGCTGCACCGCGGTGCCGGAGAGCGCGCCGCGTTACGAGCCGTAGGTTAGGCAGGATTAGTGATAGAGACAGTTTGTGTGGGTGCAGAGATCGTGCGCGAGGTGGTGGAGGCGCGCGCGGAGCTGCACCGCGGTCCCGGAGAGCGCGCCGCGTTACGAGCCGTAGGTTAGGCAGGATTAGTGATAGAGACAGTTTGTGTGGGTGCAGAGATCGTGCGCGAGGTGGTGGAGGCGCGCGCGGAGCTGCACCGCGGTCCCGGAGAGCGCGCCGCGTTACGAGCCGTAGGTTAGGCAGGATTAGTGATAGAGACAGTTTGTGTGGGTGCAGAGATCGTGCGCGAGGTGGTGGAGGCGCGCGCGGAGCTGCACCGCGGTCCCGGAGAGCGCGCCGCGTTACGAGCCGTAGGTTAGGCAGGATTAGTGATAGAGACAGTTTGTGTGGGTGCAGAGATCGTGCGCGAGGTGGTGGAGGCGCGCGCGGAGCTGCACCGCGGTCCCGGAGAGCGCGCCGCGTTACGAGCCGCCGCCGTGGAGCCCGCAGAGCCGACCACGCCGCCCTCCGACCGCGAGCCTGACCACGAGGATGAGGGTATTCATTCATTAATTAATAGTTATCGCAACCTCATCTGCGCTGATGTTACCTTTTTGACGATTCCACAGAAGCCTGATTTTTATCGGGAGAGGACACTGTGGCGGCGACATCTATATGCCCCACATGTAGACAACGGATGGAGAAAATCATTACTCACCATCCTCAAAAGATGGCGTTACCTGCACTGCGATCAATAATAGTATGGAAGCCTACATCGCGCAAATAAAATTCGGAAACTAACTCTTCATATATACGATGCCCGACCAACATCGATGGAGCCGCGGCCCCCGAGCTACCATCACCCAGCTCGGAGGAAGATCTTCCCCTTTGGCCTTCCTACAACACCATCAGCCTATTAATATCTATGCACGAGCACAGACCTTCCCTATGGATGAAATAGGAAGATAGACCGCGGCCCACCGCGCGGTCCCAGTAGTAGTATAATTTAAATAGAATTAAATATACAAGTGAATTGGGTGGTTCTAATGACTGCAAATGCAGCCGGAACCGAAAACGTAACGTGACTGCTAAAGTATGGCGGAGCTCGAGATAATGAGTTTTTGGTCACCCATCCAATGACCGACCGTTGCTACAGTTGCTTAACTTTATTTATTGCAGACAAAATGCGCTATTCACCTGCGCCATTGAGCTCCTCCAAAAACTTATACATACTAACAATTCAGGTAATAAACTACATGTATATTACCGAAATTTTATCCAAATCCATGCAGCCGTTTTTGCATGAACATACAAGCTTTCATATTTATAGTATTAGTAAGATTAGTAGTTTTATTCTCGAGGATGTTTTATACATATATAAGCCTTCCACTTGAATCTTTTACTGAAATTTTTATTAAAATCCGTTGCTTAGTTTAAAATAGCTGAACATACAGACAAAGAAAACTTTATTTTATACTACGTGTAAAGATAGGAAAAAGAGCCTCTCTATTGAAGCTTGCCGCTTTCTACGGTTTCCCTCAGGGATTTCGATTTAGAGACCTGAATGCACGTCCTTGCATACAAAATGTTCAACAAAACGCAACTATTCCTATTTAAATACAACGATTACACTTCTCACAAAAAAAGAATCCAATTTTATACAAAAACATCTCATGAAGCGTTTCGTTTTTACATGCCCCTAGTTTTATTTTTATTATAAACTAGTGGCCCGCCCTCGCTTCGCTTCGGTGTAGAGCTGTAGTGTAAACTATAGTTTTTGTTCTCAGGCTTGTGCCTGACAATGACTTTATTTATATAATTACACGTGTTATTGTGAGTCAACCATAAAAGATAGACATATGCTGTTGCGGGATATTTTTTAGACAATTTTATGTAGAATATTTCCGTTATACATGATTTCTATGTAACTTTAACCATTAAGGCTGCACACGCGACGGAAGCTTAAAAAATGGAGTAACTTCTCCCGTTTTCCCAACATTTCCCTTCACTACTCTGCTGCTATTGATTGCAGCGTGATGAAAAGTATACTATAACCTGCCCAGGAGTATGAAGAATAATTGTACCAAGTTTCGTTAAAATCCGTTGAGTAGTTTTTGTTTCTATAAGGAACATACACACAGACAGACAGACAGACAAAAATTTTACTGATTGCATTTTTGGCATCAGTATCGATCACTAATCACCCCCTGATAGTTATTTTGAAAATATATTTCATGTACAGAATTGACCTCTCTACAGATTTATTATAAGTATAGATGATTACATAAATTGTTCCTTATGACTTACTCTGTCATACATTTCATACTAATGAAATGAAAAAAAACTTATAAGCAGTAATTATTAAAATTTATTTAAGCTCATTTACTTGCCTCTCCTTAGGAGCTCGATGGCGCAAGTGGTGAGCGCGTTCGGCTGTGATCGTTGAAGTTGAGCAACTTCGGCAGGCAACAAAAATTTACTATCTCGAGCTCCTCCGTGCTTCGGAAGGCACGTTAAGCCGTTGATCCCGGCTGCATCTGCAGTCGTTAGCACCCACCAATCCGCACTGAGCCCGCGTGGTGGGTCATGGCCCAATCTCCCTATTCCATCCATAGGGAAGGCCTGTGTCCCAAAAGTGGGGACATTAATAGGCAGATGATGAATAAATGAATGAACTTATCTCTCCAATGTTTCGGTGACACAACTTCAACTGAAACTTAATATAAAAAGTCACAATTCTCGCGTAATTTTTATCAATATACTTGAACATGGTCACGATGAAATAAAATATCAAGGTAACCCACAAACTTTATAAGAACTATAATTATAAATTGTAAATTTACACACTCAATTTTAATACTCATTTGAGTACAGTGACTTCTAATGGGTTAATATATGAACGGTGTACTATGCAATCATACTTTGTGTGCAACTTAATCAGGTCGATGCAACTTACGTAATTACATGATTTCCGCAATTGTATAACGTTTCACAACACGGTGGAAGTGTTATCCGTAAGAATTAGATAAAATATGAAAGAGTTTCTAACTTTAATAAAAAAGTTCGTAATACTGGTAGGAACCCGATTTGGACTTGCAAAAAATAATAATCGCACATTCAATTCGCAATGTTATGCACATATCTTTAAATTTAATTTAATTAAATCAATCGATTTTATAAAAAATCCTACTACTTAGAATGAGATGAGAAGAGAAGAAACATGTGGAAAGTTACAATAGTAAATGATGTAGATATGTATGATTCTTAATATGTGTACTCTCATTGCCAAACTCAACTAACTTTGAAATTAACAGTCACGAGATTAAAATCGTCAACACGAAATTAGCAAACCCCTGATTGACTGTATCCCATATTAATGCACAACGACCTTCCTAGTGTCAGGAGCACATGTCACAGACTCCCCCGTTCCTTATGTCCGACCCGCGCGCGCTGTGTTTAGATTGCGGCGTCGATTCGCGCCGCGTCGCACGTGGCCCGCACCCACGCCGCACCCATTCGCCACACTCTCCCCTGAATGGTGTCATTACGCCGCTATGCCATTCGCATTAAGTCTCCGCCGAGTGAAAACCGACCCTGCGTACACGCAACAATGAGCCGAGTCCCTGTCCCGACACCGAGCTGCACCTGACGCGAGCGGCCGCCGCATTGCAGACCTTGTGTCGATGGAATAGGGGCGCGTATACCGGCCGCACCTGCCGCGCCTACGTAACTGTAGGGGTGCGCGCTGCGGCCGCGAACAATTAAGATTGATACGGTATGATGACATTATAATATGGTTTTGATGCGGGGCATGCTTGTATGCGTTAGTTAAGAGTATTGTATTGTTACTTGTAATAATTTAAACGGCGGGAGCCGCACGTGCGCGCGCGCATATTAAGCCGCTCTACACTTGATTGTGCGCTAAACGTCACTCGACGCGCTGCGTTTGTTGATTTGAGTGATGTCATATTCGAAATGACAAGTGGTTTAGATTTTTTTACTATGAATGGAATTTGTAAGCGTTTAAAAGCTTTCGAGCGAAGGGCACGCGTTATGCAAGTAACGATATCACAATTTTATTACTGTTTAATAAATACATAGTTGCAATACAACTAAGTTTCAGCGAAACATGCTTATTATGTAATTTTGTTCTATATACTTTCGTATTTTAACGAAAAAATACTTGATCTAAACTTTTACAATACTTATCAGTTAATCAATTTGTGGAAGGCTAATGTAAACATACAAATGTGTTGTGTAGAGATGTAATTAGAGATAAATGATTTGGCGGGGATTTGGTATCGGATCGTATCTGGCGGCTCATGGCTCACGGCTCATGGCTCACCGCGACCGCGGGCGTTAATCACAATGCATTATATTATTGTTGACCTGCGGCTTGCGGCGGACGCAGCGGCACCGCGCCGCAGATGCGGCCCACGTGCGCGATGCGGGACGCGATAACAGATCGCTATCGCGCGCGCCACTCTGCGTGATTGGCCCCGCACTGAGATACGAATGCTCAAGTAATGGCGCTAACGCTTGACTTTTGTTGTAACTGACCATTAAAAAAAACATTGTATTAAATAGTACAAAAAAAAATATAAAGTAACTATTCAGTACCTAAGTCATAAATGGAAATCCTACAGATCATTAATTAATATCTATTCACCTTTATTTCCCGTGTTAGTAGAACCACAGTCTATATACTTTGTGTACACTGTCATAGAACCATGATTGTGGCTTGGTTCTACCTAAACTAGTGGGTCAATTATAGTTGGTCGTTAGCCTGTATTCGGGCGCACGAAAGATATTACTCGAATTCGGGTTCCGAATCAATATTT